GGACGCACAAACACACACACATGTAAACATACAACACACGGGTCTGTCCTGGGGTAAACACAGGGTAAAAAGGCATCAACGGCTCTAAAGCGCTCAACGAATGAGAATGAGATTATGGCGTGTAAGTGACACCAAGTCCGTCTTTCAACAAATCCACATAATTATCAGCAATAACAACTATGACCGATCAATGGTTTAGCTTAAAATCACAAACATTTTACCATATGTGCGTTATGCGGGATTACATATGTCCATCTATGTATGTGATTTTTTTCTGCTTCACAAGTCGTCCATTGAAATGATTCCTGATTCACAACCGTGTTCGGGTTTACACATGCTTTGCTAAATCGATTGATATGAAACCAGGATAATAAGTCTCTCAGTTAAGTAAGCAATGAACTGTGCAACAACAACCAATCCGTCTGCTTTTCCATGAATCAACGCAGATGTCTGATTGCTCTATTGCAGGGGTCTCCAACCTTTTTCAATCAGAGAGCTACTTTCATACAGAAGAAGAGGCAGAGAGCTACTCCTTTGTGCAGTAGTAATACAATTCTGTCTAATAATTACGACAAAACCTGGAGAACACATGTAAAATATACCATAATACTGTATAACCCTATATTCATACATGTATAATAGATATGTTATGACTCAAAATGTATTCGTTCAAGATCATTTGTTAAATTCTAAATCCTTTGGTGAGCTACCTGAAAGAGGCTGGGGAGCTACTGGTAACTCCCGAGCCACAGGTTGGAGACCGCGGCTCTATTGGTATTGGTGCACCCTACTTTAGATTTAGATAATTATCGTGTTTTTTAGTGGCTGTACATTTATGTGCGGTAAAATATTGTTTGTTCTCTCCGTATGCAGATGCTATACTGTGCGTGTGCAGTCTCCCTGGACACATGAAGGATTGTGTGTGTCTCATCTGCGCATATAAACTTTTGATCAATAATTAACAACAAGAGTGGAGGGAGGGAGGTGTGTGGTCAGAGAGTGTTTGGACCTGTGTCTTGTCGTGTGTTGTGCTTGTGTCGTGCATGTGTGTGTTGGGTTGTGTTAAATGAGTGAGAGGGGCTGGAGCTAAATAAGCGTTTAAAGTTTAATTTGGCATATTGTTTGAAATACATTACTTACTATCACTACATGCCTATAAATCTGGGTACAACCACCACAAAATCTGTGTTATTGTCACAGTATTTGCAAAGTGATCACAACACTTTTTGAATACCTCAAGGAGAAAGCATTTACATAATGAGAACAACAATGACATGACTAACAGGTCGTGTGTGACTCAACATGTGAGTGGGCCTGAAGGAAAGAGGGGCCAACACCGACACAGACGACCACTCGGCGTGTTTGAGGGCCGTGAGTTCTGCGAATACCAGAACAAGTATTTGTGAGCCACAGATCTCTGAGTTACTTAATGCAAAGTCTGATCTTCTGCAGTGTGACAGCAAAAATCCACCGAGCACAAGCCTCCATACTATTATTAGACTCCACATACAACAGAAGATCTCCAAAAATAAAAGACTGAACTTTTTACCTCAACCAACAGTACGACAGTTTTCTAGTTCACAGAGAGAGGAGAACAAGCATCAAACATAACTCAGTCATCTCGGTCCTTAGCCGCTCTCTCGCTGTCTCTGTTCCACCAATTATTTCCCGACACACAAACGCTTACAGTGTGCCCTCTCATGTATGCGCCGCTGTGGGGTCCCCATACTGCGCTCTTGTTGGCAGGACATCCACATAGATCAGGGCCACAGGGGGGAGGAGGGTGGCAGAGAGGGGGGTGTGGAGGCTGCAGACTTCGGAGCGAGCAGTTGGTGGGTCAACAGCTGGGAATGCCCCCGTGAGAGCCATTTAGCCACAAGTCCAACTGTACGGCCTATTTTCAGAAAGATTAGACCTGTCTACCAGGAACTAACTATGAGATCAATAAAAGTGGCGGATGGTAGTACTTGCCATCTCTGTGCCCACTAATTGCACTTGAGAATATCGACGTATAGAATAGACTCTGAAGAGGAAAGTGTTGATTGTGTTTAGGAATATTTATGATTCTACAGCAAATCAAGTGGATGATCTGAAGTGGGTACCATTTATGAATATTATTATTATTATAATTAATATCTTATTTATTCCCCCTGGGTTTTTTCCGAGTCGTTTCTTGCTGATGCAGGAGAGTCTAAGGACAGTGACGATCCGGGACATTTATTAACATCTATGGACATTGGTCATCCCACTCACTACGGACCAATGGTTCTATGTTTTTGTTATTACTGCATTTCCTGTGTTTGAACTGCTTGATTCTCTGATCTGTTGTTGACTATTTGACAATTTCGTAAAGTCGTCCGAGGCGACTGCTGTTGTGATTTAGGCCTTCACAACAATGTGCATTTCCAGTTTTCCCTGTATGTAATGTTGCCAATTTTTCTGTGTCTATCGAGCTACGGATGTGCTTTTGAAAAATAGTAACATTTATCACCACAATATAATTGTCAAAAATATAAAGAACAATGGTTGTCAAGAGCCAAACTAATAATAGCTGTCTATGAGAGAATAAAATAAGTAAAACATTGCTTCATGAAATATTACCTTGACTGATAACTATGACTATTACCCTGATCATTAGGGTTGATGCATGCGGCAGAGTGTACATTAGAGTTTTTGGGTCATGATTTCAGATCATTTTCTGCTCACCACTGGACTAAGATTTTTATGAAGGATTATTGAAAAGTTATATCTGGACAGCACTATGTGAAGAGGTTGTTTGTGTTTCATATGAATTCTCCCGGGACTTACAGAGAAATAAACAGTTAGTTATCTTAGTTACCAGGGAAGATCTGTCACTGTCCTAAACCACATTTAAAATATAAACTCTTTGTGACAGTTACTGAGACAGGATCAAATCAATCGCCTGAATCATCTGGATTCTGAATATTATCAGAAAAGTCACATCCTTTGTTTCTTGGATAGAATGATTTAAAATAATAGTTTCTACTTTTGAGTGGGTCTTTGGCGGCTTTAAACAGTTAAACAATGGTGATGATTTCAATCTACAACAGCAGAAACAAATGTGACGTCATGACAGTGCTGAGCAGCAGGTTCATCAAATTCAATACAAAGAGGGACCTTTTACCCTCCTGACAAAAGTATTTGAACTCAGGATGTTTGATGGTAAAGACCACACCAAAGTCAAGGATATGAGCAAAACAAAAGTGGAATCTGGTTTGAATCAAAACCACAAGCGCCTGGCACATCTCAATCCACCAAATCAACATTTACCTCATTCCGTTAACTGTGTGTACAGGTCTACAACTCGAACTGTGGTTTGTTTTTAAGGGATACCCCTGGACGAATCTGGCATCTAATGGGCCTCACATGTCACACACAATTGATCAGTGTGATTTAAAATGATGATGACTTTCTTCAAATCATAAAGATCAGTTTAGATACATTGAGATGGAGAGAAGATCTAAGAAGCTACAAGAAAACTGTTCAGTATCTTGATACATACTCTCTAAAAGAAGATACGATTCAGAATCGGTTATTTTGCTCTGTAAGCCACTCACTCACATCCAAAAGTTGATCAAACCTGGTGTAATGTTACTGCTAACCAAAGCATAACCTAAGCATATTAGGTCTAGAGCACAGAACAGAGGCCTAATAGTTCCATAAAATATACCTTGAGGATCAGATGAAAGTGTTCATTCCTACAGCGCTGTGTCCTGGGACAGGTTTAGAAACATCCCGCAGTCCATCCGGAGCACCTTCGCTTTAACTTAATCAAGTCCCGGAGCGGAACAAAGTGTGTCAGAGTCGGAGAGGTCCGCAGCCAGAACAACTTCTCCCTCAGACACTTGTGAGAGCTCAAGAGAAGTGACAGTGCGGCTCAGAGTCAGATCCTCACAGATCCGTGATCCTCTGCGCTCACATGGGACTCTGTCCAGCGGCTGCGCTCCATACGAGGCTCGTGCCCGTCACTAACAAGCACCTGAGAGACGCACGCGCACGGTCACGCGCCCGGAGAAAACAACAAACAACACACAACACACAACAAAGCAGCAGAAAGAGTGAACAACGTGTGTAGCCGGCGGCAGGGTCCTGTCTGCGGCTCCAGAGCTCTTTCTTTCTACGAGCGGACAGTTTGGCCAACTCTGTGTCAGGCCCCAGTGAAGCACGCGGGGGCTTTTCTGCCCCCTAGCGGTCACTCTGGGACTTACACAGTGATTCACTCAATTATCTAACGGATCAGAGATTAATACCATAGATAGATAGACTATAGACGTGTATTTACCCACAGTCTATTATTATGACTAGCTGTTTTAATCCTTTGGGTTGTAGATGCCAAACCAAACACGGTTTTCATAGAGTTTATATATATTTTCATTTCACTTTAGGTATTTGAAATATTGTTGTTAAGTGAAGTTAGGACTACAAATATTAATTTAAAATTACAACGTAAATGCTAATATTTTAAACCTAAGCACAGACGTATAAAGCATTAGGCTATATATTCTGTAAATATAATATTGGTCACAGTTATTATACAGGTTTATAATGCATCACTCTAGTTACTGGAAATGGAAATTAAATATGTTTCCTACAATACTTCATATTTTAAAATAAACCTTACTTTGAGTTACTTTGAGTTATATATTTTATTTGCTTAAACAAAGCACATTAAATTAAATATTCATGTACTTTAGTTACTTTGGTTGTATGAGTAACTAATAATTTGGTACATTACCAATTTTATCTGTTGTAATCTATGCTTGTAATGAGTTACTTCAAAAATAAATATACTGTAACGAATGTAACGGTTACTTTTGTTTTGAGTTGCAAAAGTTGGGAACAACTCTGTGTCTGTATACATCAACATTTAGAGATCCGTTAATAGTCAGGCTTCTAACAATCATTATATAAACAGTGATAGGGATGGGGAGGGTTTGGGAGAGTTTTTTGAAAATGTTGTACAAAACAAAATATGTTTTTAAATGTGTCTAAGTTACACATTTTATAGTATTTCAGAATGCAACTTGAGAAATATGTGGGATCACTGCATATGTACTTTAAAAATGCATTATTTATGACGTATGGAAATGATAAAATAATAAACTGTGCTGTTTCTGACATTAAGTCATTTCTGCAGATTCATGGCCTGTGGGATTTGGGGTTACTTAGTTTCTTTGAAAAACACAGTTACACATATTACTTATTAAAATTTAATGATTTGACACAAAGTAACTTAAGTACACAACATTTGTGTGTTTATTCATATGTCTTGTTTTACTACAATGTAACAGAAGTGTGCAGCAAAACAGATCCTGTACCCTAATTAGAACAATACATTTGTAAGTTCCAGAAACACTGCTATAGGCTACATTAAACAGCTTTTCTGGTTGGAAAGGCCTCCTCACAACTTTTGTTGTTGATGCTACAAGGAACTAGTATTTTAGTTACTAGTTGCAAACTGTTCTCAGTGACAGTAAGGCTGTCACACAGGACAGAGTTTATGCACAGAGTGAGAGGGAGAACCTGAGGGCCGCTCACCAGTGATGTCTCGTCTTCACCTGGAAGGCCTCCACCAGCTCAGCTGTGGGCTCACGCTCTCAATCCCTTGTATCCAACAAGAAAACTTTTTGAAAAACAAAAACTTCTTAAGCCAGACCAGCTGGCTTTCAGTGGCAGACCCGAAGTGGGCTGTGTTGGACGCTGCACTAGGCCACACTGGGATGAGTTTGGATAATGGGGGACTCTAGGTGCTCAGGCCCCGCCCCCACCCCCCCCACTTCACTACATTACTTTATCTTCTCCTCCACACAGTTCAGACCCTGTGACCTCCTGCGCTTGAGAGCTGGGGGCATGTCTGTGGACACTGCTCACCTGTCACTGTCACTTGGGGTATATTTAGTTTGGAGGTGTCATTGATGCTGTGTGCGTGTGCGTGTGTGCGTGCGTATGTGGGAGGGAGTAGAATGTGTTGCTGACACTCAGGGCCTCTGTGGCCCTCGCTCTAAGAGCCCAGGATTACTGATCCAAAGACCACATTCTCGACACATTACAAGGGAGAGGGGGGAGATCAAACCTGCTGGCATGTCCTACATATCAGCACACTGAGCATCTGCTTGGCAGAGGATTACCCTCAGCTGTCCTCTTCTGTCAGCTCCTGGAGCAGGAGGAAAGAGACTGCTTCACATCACTGATCTTTGAAACCCTCAATGTCCCCAGCAGAAGAACAGCACAAAATCCATCTGGTTATAGCTATAACCCTACAGAGTTTTTATCCATTTCTGCTGTTTAAACAGCTCATCAAACTTTGAATTGAGGCAAAATAAGAAATTCAAGATGATTATATTTGACTTAAATGATACATGTCTGGGTAAAATATGTAAACGTCCCAGATGTGTCCAAAGTATGGCATGGGGCCAAGAGGTTGCCTCTGAAGTGACCTGCTAAAATGTTTATTATGCTGCACAAATATCTCTACTTTAACATCACTAATTGAGCTGGAAGTTACTTTGGCCTTAATAGAGGTACTGTGTTTCGGTCAAAGCTGTCAATATAGCCATAAAAAGTTTGGTCCTGTTATTATTCTCAACTCAGAATAGCTTCAACTCATTCTAAAAGTTTATTGAGATACCCAAAAAATAATGACAACGTTTCCGAAACCATCAGAACAGACTGAACCAAAATGATATAAATGTACTTATTCTTAATGTCACAACAAGTTAATATGATTTTAAGGAAATGCATAAAAAACACAAACATTATCCCCAACATTGGTTTGACCGGCACTATACGAATGATCATTTGATTAGGGCTGGTAATAATGTGTTATTTGTGCCTGGTGGTTTGCTCCCATGCTGTCTGGAGGCGTACGGGAGTTTGACAAGGTGTTCGAGGGTAATAAACAAGCTGAATTATGGGCATAACCAAAAATACATTATAATTGGAGGTAAACTGGTGTACCACTTGTTTGTTATTCCTTTTTTTGTCTGTTGTTTTGTTGATTTTATAGTTGATCCTAGTAGGAGCTTGAAGTTGGGCTTTGACATATAATATTACTGTGAAAGCCATGAGCGTGTGTAAACGAATCCATCCTCACCCAACTGCCAGGCATAACTCACAATCCACAGCATATCTCCAGGCATTCCCCACTCACGGCTGAGTCCATCCTGTGCCACAAGCATCGGCCAGATTAGCATTTTTGTTCTCCATATGCAGACTTTAACTGGTAAAAAGTTGGTTGTTTGGACCATACTTTTCTTTTCATTTTGTTTAGTTTGTTTGTGTTTAAGTGTGTGTGTGTGTGTGTCTTGTAAGTAATTCAAATCATAATGGCTTTAATTATTCACAATTACCCCTCTGACTACAATATACCTTCTCTCTTGTTTATCCGTAGATGGCTTTATCCACAGAGCTGCCATTGTGGGTCATAAGAGATAGACGTCCAGGTGGCAACAAAAGACTGGAGGAATTCGTATGGGTTAAAGGTGAGGGCCACCTGGACAGCCCTGTCACCCCGCCAGCTGACAAATGCCATAAACCGAAATCTAATGAGCAAAACTAACCAAAATCACGAGAGGATACTACTAATTACCATCTGGATACACGACAAATGCGCCAGTGTATTTAGTTTGGGGGACTGGAGGAAAATGAAATGCCACCAAAGCCAGAGGTAGTAAACAGCCCCGCGGTGTCCCCTATAGTGCCCTTGTCTCAGCGAGGGTCAGAGGGTAAGTGTTGTCACATGGTCGGCATAGCTATCTCCTAATGACTGACAGGTGGAGCGAAGAGTGAGAACTCTGGTTACCAATGAGTCACTTCACTGACACTTACTATGCAGAGGCATCGCTGCTTCACCAACTCAAACAGAGAGTTGGGGTGTGTGCGGTGCTTCCCAACTACATTAATTCTGGAAATCTGTCTCCAATTAAGAAAAGAAGAGTTTAGAATCACTGATCAGGTGTGATGCCCACAGAGAAGAGGTCTGCCCTGTGCTTCATCAGTGCTAAACCCAGCGTCTCTGTTCAGGAGTGTGACGGGCTCTGGAAGGCACCCCCAGACTGGAGAGCAATCAGACAGGATTCTCATCAGGACTGATGATTGTGCCAATAAAAATGAGAGCATTTCCACTTGTGAGGGTGCAAACTGGTTGAGTGGAAACCTTGTGGGTGGAGGTTGTAACTGGGGAGGAACTGGGACAGTTTATTTCTGGAGCATGTGTTTCTCTGGTCTGGGGACCAACAGCTGAGCATGTGACAAAGCAAGGGCAACTGGCAGCAAATACTGCCTGTAGATTTTCATCAATATTTCTAATTGATATCTATAGAAACACTTTTACAACATATACGGTTACATTTATGTTTTGTTCCTGAAACTTTAATTATGTAATTGAAGCCTAAAGAAAGCAGTAAAGGAACTATGGTATCATGGTGGGGCGATACCATGATGCCATAATCACAATACATGGTCCTCTATATAATATAAAAGGTCTGTTTCCAAATTAGAACTCAAGAAATCTCCATTTTTCAATTCTGGAGAGACTGATCATAGAACTGACAAAAAGGACAAATATCAATACAACAAATCCATAATAAATAGATTAAAAAAATAGCAGTTTGTAAGATTGTAGATCTTCCATCTAAATTAGGGTTCAAGGCTTTCTTTCCGTACTACAACTTTTCATAGTTTTTTATCCTTCCATCTTCCTCAACTCAAGATTTATTTCTTTACGGCAGGGAACGTGAATGTTTATAACGAGGGCTAACTGTGATCAAAAAAGGCAGTAAGAAATTATCAGTTTTTTTCTCATTTGCAATCAAGTTATTACAAAAAAGTGGTCCAGTAACTAATTAGTTCTGACCATAGACTGTAAATATTCTGACTCACTTTGAAAACGAGTGGCTCCCTCTAGTGGTAAATTATAGGTTTTGTATTATATATCATATTTACATTGAAATGTTTTTCTGTGTTTGTTTGTATTAATGTAAAATAACTGCAGACTTATTAGGACAGGGGGTATAATAAGTCTCCTAAAATAATCTCCTTAAAGCTGGGGCAACTAACTTTTTTGAAAGGTTTTTGAAATGTTTCTTCACCAAAGTTTACAACATTTATTGTTTGGCAAAATTGTAAGAATGAGCTTAGATCATCACTATAACACAAGACCAACAAAACAGTGTGTGTGTACTACTCAGTTCAATTCAATTTATTTCTGCAGAGCTTTCAGTCACAACGTAATCGACTCTGAGGACTTTACAAAGTTGGTAATGCGCAGTTTAATCACAGGAAATAAACAAGCAGGTGATAAATTGACCATAAATGTTAATAAATGTCCTTAAATGTAAGTAAGTAAGTAGGTAATCTTTATTTATATACTGCCTTTCACAGACCAGAGTCACAAAGCGGTTTACATTTGTTATTTTTTGGGCACTTGTCCTCTCACTCCTCACAGAGATGGGAGCGGGGTCACCACCACTGTCCTTTGACCCAATGACCCAGTGGGAAGAACATTTACCCCCAGCTTTAACTCATTGACTGCCAGCCGTTTTTGATGATTTCACTGATTCTCAAGACCCATTGAATATTATTTCCTAAGACTATGTGAAATGTGAAACCAGATTCTGAAAGACTGGATTGTCTTCTTTGATCAGCAAAAATAAGTTTGTTTTGAGCTATTTTTATTGTCCTGTTATCCCCAGTCGAAAAGAGGGTCCAAGAGAAATATGTCAATGGCAGTCAATGAGTTTTAAGTGACACAAAGACACAACATTTCTTTGACAGATTAATCTATTATTTATAAAGCAAATTCAGCAACGCCATATGTACAATTATATCCAACATAAAGGGCAGGAGTCTCTGATAACATTTCCAACATTTCCAACAATTCAACAAGATCCTGAAGCGTTTTCTGGGCACATATTAGCTCTCGCCAGTCATTATTGCAAGGAACTCATCCTGGTTTACTGAAAAAAAAAAAAAAAGTTAGATGGACGGGTCTGCAGCTGCATCTGTGTTCAGCCGACTCTATGTCACTTACTTTCTCCATCTCCGTCCAGATCAAACTCATCGATCATGCTGCGCAGCTCTTCGTCGCCAATACTTTCTCCGAGTTCTCGCGCGACCCGCCTCAGGTTCCGCAGACTGATTTTCCCTGATTCATCGTCATCAAACAACTTAAAAGCTTTCAATATCTCTTCTTTTGGGTCTCTTTCCACGATACGATCTGTGACTGCAGGGATGAGAACGCACAATTACAAAGCTTTCCATACAAAGCAATAGAACATGAATAACTAAAAATACTTACCAACTTCATTAAAATCCTCAAAAGTAATCTTTCCGTTCCCCTCTCTGTCATAGTCTTTCAGTATTTTCAGCACATCTACTTTCTTTACCTCAAACCCCAGCGCTCTCATGGCGACCTGCAGTAGGCACAACATTACAATACTTATGAATGGAAAAACTTAAGGTTTTATTACTGAAGTTGTACAAATACAAATAATTAAATCGGTCTCTGCACTGGCTTCCTGTGGCTGAGAGAATATAGACTTTAAAAGCAGCTCTACTTCTGCACAAGTCTCTCCATGCCATGGCCTCGAACCAAGGTTAGTGCCATAAGAACCAAGTCAGACTCTGAGGAAGACAGGGACTGGCCTCCTGCTGGTGCACAGAATCAGGACTAAATAATGGAGAGGCAGGTTTCAAAGTCTTCCTGAAAATGTGAGACATGCTTCTACTCTGACAATGTTCAAATCCTGTTTAGTTGTGCATTTAACTGAAGCATTGTATCGTCACTGTTTTTAAAAGTATTGTGATCATTTGTGATTTTAATGTGTTGTATGTTGCCTTGTGTATGAACACTTGACACTGCTTTTTAAATACTAATAATGATTGATCCCAGTGAATTGTTCATTATTGATATATTGTTAAATGTAGCTCTAGCTCTGTAGATGGATATGATATGTAGGCCACATCCCTTATGAACTACTATCAGCACAAAAATGATAGAGTTCCTGCTTGAGTTTCTACCTTAAGTTCATGGTAGTCGATCTCTTTGTCTTTGTCCGTGTCAAACAGCTCAAATGCCTCTTTGATTTCATGTTTCTGGTCCTCGGTGAGTTCTCTCCTTTTCTTGCGTTTTGTTTTGTCCACAGTAAGCTCTGTTCTGAAGAAAATATGAATAAAACATTAATCAAACTGGCATGAACTATATATATATAAAAAAAACATCTTTTTGTATGTAGAGTATGTTTTATGGTTAATGTCCACAGTCTATGGTTAAAACACGTCAGGTTAAGGACCAGTGTGATTTAGTTTAGCTGTGATCGGGGGTTAGGTAAATACGGATTAGGCTATCTCTCTGTGGGACGAAATCGAAAGACAAAGATAATAGAGAGAACAATAAATGAAGTGTGCAAAACATAGAATAATGCTAACGTTAGCATAGCAGATGTCCTAAACACATAATAACGCCACATAGATTTAATTTAAGATAACATTTACGTGTTGAGTTTACCTCAGGGACAGGCTCATCCTTCATATATCTGTGGAGAATGATAAAACAATAGCGCGGATCCACACGTCTCCCTCAAACACAACAACAAATCCCTTTATCCGCGCTCACTCACACACACTCTTTCCATTGGTCTGTGGTTACTAGGCAGCAGTAAAGACGACGCTGATTGGCTAAACACTCTTTGCGACCCATCTGTGACATATTAATAGTGTAGCAACAAGAGAATATCTGGAAATACGATTCAAATGTTTTTTATATGTTATTTTATATATTCATTAAATATGTATAAGGCGAGTACAAATCGATTAAATTACCACAAAAAAATATAACAACGTGACAATCAAAATATTTGTTTGGTTTTTATAAAAAGCCAGTTTGAATGCATTTGATATGAGTTACACGTGGCTTAGTTGGTGGAGCATTGGTTTTCAGGTCGTGAGCTCAATCCCCAAGAGACCTCCACTAACATCTGCTGTCGTTGTTTCCCTGGGCAAGGCACTTAACCCCACCCTCCCGCTGAAAGGCCAAGGCCGTGTCGTCACTGACGGAACAGCCATCCCTGGACTTGCCCCTGGGCCCCCCACCTGCAAAAGGATCAGTGAGAGGCAGGTGCATGGATCTATTATAATAACTATGGAGTGTTACCATGGATCTCTGATAACAGGTGCAATCGAAATATGTTGATTTATTAGACCCAGATATAGAGATTAAAATGAATGAACTGAATGAACAATGAATGAAAATGTGTGTATTATTTACACAACAAGATAATAACATCAATGCCAAAGTTACCATTAGGAAATATTACACATTCATCAATATCATCAATTTGACTCAGAGTGAGCTCTCTCACGGCCTCTAGTGGACATGTGTTGGTACTAGTGCATCTACGGGGTTGAAATATGGGTATAAAGGTCATTCCTTAAGTACAGAACATTTCGGTCCCTGTGGTAATTATTCTCCAAGCCGATTTTTTTAGTAGGAGATGTATTGTAAGCTATGCAAAGGCGACTTAACGACTATCTACGATCACTTAGGTCAATCAGCCATGTTCGGAATTTCTCAAGACCATACATGTATCAATATTATCTGCTCAGAGTGTAATGGTAATGGGTGGTGTCATTACACGTCACTCTGCGCTTAATTCAAGTTTCAGTCCACAAACTTCCAACTGCTGCCCCCTGCTGGCTTCTTGTTTGCATCGTCTGCTCAGCTGTGATTGTGTCATAAGGGTTGGCTGTTTTGTTATTATAACTATAATAACCATAACTATTGCCATAACTATTTTATGTTATTCACATGTATGTCGTTAGCTCTGTATTTGTACTTTATGGGGGACATTAAACACTTGGGTACACCTGTTTTTGTGTAAAAATCCTCCTTTGTGTGCACACTCAAGCAAAACAAAAACAAAATAAACAAAAACAATACTCCAAACAAACTCCTTGATAAACAAAGTTGAACGAAAGGTTATTTTGTGGTGTTGCTGATTTTCACACATAACAGGAGGAAGTATTCAAATCCATCCATCTTCTTTTGTGTCACACTTTCCACATCATAAGCATTCATGAACGCCTGACCACAAGTGGATCAGCGTGGATTACCTCTGCATCGACCACAGCCAGCTCCCAGCCTAGACTATAGTCTGCTTCCACACAACTGCACTACAGTGGAGACCAGAGATCTGTGATTTATGTTTTTATCATTATCTAAATACACAATTTACATATTTTAACTACTTTTTATGAGGATTTAGAAATTAATATAAGGAATGCAAAAGAATTACAGCACACAATCTTGACATTGAGCCGCTGAAAAAAAGTTTTACCTGAACAACAAATCATTAAATATCAAAGTACTTCCAGTTTCCATTTAAAAACATCAATTTTTTGTTATAATATTGTTTTTCCAACTTACTTTGGACTGAAAAACTGAAAGTACAAAGGAAAAAGAGAGTTACCCAGCTTTAATAGCTTTGGACAATAAACGCTTTAATTTACTCTATTAATCATGTCTATGTTTGCATTTGATGGTTTGGAAAGTTGTTTATTATGTTACGCTATGTCTCTCTCTCTCTCTCTCTCTCTCTCTCTCTCTCTCTCTCTTGTTAACAGTTCTGTTTAAGGTGCCACTTGGTCTCACCTTATCATAAGTGTGGCTGCTTCCCCACATCTGTGAGCTCAGATAGAGACTGGGACACAAGTACTATCTGGGTCCCACAAAACACCCAGATTTCTCCTCCACTCTTTCACTGATAACTAAATACAATTGTTGTGGGCATTTGTCCTCTCGCTCCACACAGTGATGGGACCACCATACAGGAGGTGCATGCAGGACCTGTTGTACATGTTTTTAGTGGTAGGGGAAACCGAAGCACCTGGAGAAAACCGGAGCACCAGGAGGAAACCGGAGCACCAGGAGGAAACCTATGCAGACACAGGGAGAACAAGCAAACTCCACAGAGAAGAGTCTGGAGGTAGAATCCAACCCAGGATTTTCTTCCTGTGAAGCACAAGCGCTAACCGTGGCTAAGAACCTAAATATTTATGAACCTAAATGTTAGGATTTCACTTATTAAGTCATATTTTGGACCATGTAATCTTCTCTTGAACCTTCATAAGATTTATTCTTTGAATGATTAGAAAATGTTTCCCAAATAGATTGCAAATGAAGTTCCTTATCTGTGTCCAATGAGTGCCCTTTGGCTCTGGGTTTAGTTTAGTTTAGTTTAGTCTTTAGTTGAAGGGACAGTGTACAGAGACATTAAGATCAAAGACAGATATGTTCTGCACCAGATTATAGCTAAACAGCTACTTTCCATCTGCAGTCCCTGGTTACATCAATAAAATACATGGATACAGTAATGTACAATCCTAAAAAATAACATTGCAATACAATGCACTCTCTGATACAGACACGCATTTAGCCTCACACCTGTTTGTTAAAGCCACACTTCATTCACAGCATCACACCTGCACAATACACATGTCACAACCACACATTCAGATGCACATTCAGTAAATTTCTCATCATACATAAATCACATACATCAGTTTCTAATCATACATATACATCAGGGTCAGATGGGAACACGGAGGGTTTGTATGGTGACAAGTACAGGAACTGCAGCAGGTTTGTACCGTGTGAAAACTCTATTGAGAAGAGGCAGGGTTAGTTTGTTTACCTGCTCCTCAAACATCTTTCAGAAGTACCACATGAGAGCGTGCAGCTGCAGGACGTGGGGTAAGCACAGGCCGGACCTCTGTCCTGTGTGCAGTGTTCAGGGTGAGGATGGGGGCAGGGACCTGCTTCTCTCAGACAGAACATTCTGTGTTTGGCCCAAACCTTTCGTGATCAAAGTTTTCTTTCCCTCAAGTTCACTCTCCACCATTTGAAAACCTGGACAAATCAAACTTCATCAGTTCAGATGTCTCTTGTGGAAGATCAGAATGTCAGTATGTGATACTCTCTCTGGTCCCTCTTGGTGTTGTTGAATGGTGAATGGCTCTTCACACAGTTATGGGGTGTGGTTACTCCAAGCATTTTAAATACTTAGTGTTTGGCAACTGCGTTCATACCATTAAACATCCCCACCCCAAACTTGCAGAAAGACCCCTTGTATTGGCCTGCTGAAACTGGGACACTGCAACAAGTCTCCTTCGCTGACGGGAACCAATAAAATCAAACATGCAGACACGCAGTATTTTACAGTCCATTGTCTCTAAAGAGAAGGTTGTAGATCTTTGTGGTGCAGAGTCAGTGTGTGTTTGTTGCCTGCTTGCTGACCTTCTCAACATTTATGCCTGATGCGTGATGGAGAAGCAGTGACCGCAACAATAGTGCAGAGGCACAAGAGTTAACAGCATCACTGACCTACAGCCCTAATCCTTCACTTATTTAACTGCGTTTATTAGGACAGGACTAATGTCATTACTTAAAAAGGCAGGGGTATTTGATTCTTGCTTGTAATTTAGTTAGAATTATCAACTCACATGAAGCTGTAATGAAATCCAATAGTCTCCAGCTTTCACAGTCACTACTTGTCACATGCTTTTTGGCCTCAGTTTTATAGTTTTTAAGATAGAAAAGTGAAAATAAATATGACTTCTCATAATATTGATGACAATGCGACATTTATATAGCACATTTATGGAGACTCAAAGATGCTTCACGGCCTTATGAAGTCCATATGTGTATTATGGTGGTACTAACAACAACTGTAGCCACAGCTGCCCTGAGGAGCTTGGGCCATGACGGCTGCCAGTAAAAGACATTGGCCCCTCAACAACCAGCAATAAACCATTCATGCACACACCACTAATACTGCATGGGTAATGTTGGTTAAAGCTGGAGTACCTAATTTTCAAACCACACACACACACGTTTATTCAGTCGTATTGGTTGTTTTAATGTATCTTTAGAGTGCACTATGACTGTTTGGCAATATCCAGCCACACCACATAGAGCCTGGCATTCCCGGCCCCCACTGCCCTGCTTTGTGTTTCAGTTCTAAAATTATCAGAATAAACTTACTTCTTTATTATAATAGAAGTCAGAGATTTTTTTAAAAATGTTTTGTTTGTTTATTTACTTTATTTGAGCTGTCTAAACAGTACATCCAGAGTCAAATCATAACTGCTGTTGTGTATACAATCAAAACTTAACAACATACTGTATAGAGCTCAAAAGGAGAAATATAGAAATAGTATAAAGAAATATTTATGGGTTCTTATCTTGTGTTGTGTGTTCCTCATTCCTTCTGTAACTGGTGATGCAACACTGACATTTCACCACAGTGGGACGAATACAGGATCTCTGAATATAAATCTTTGAACATTTATGACCAAATTATTGTTTCTTTATTATAGGCAAACATGATCTGCAAAGGATACCATGTTTTCTAATTATACGACAACGGTACTGCATTGTCTGATACGTCCTCTATTTTAATCTTTCGCTTGAGAGAAAAAAAAAAAAACAATAAAAAAATATGTATTTATGCACCCCAGATTTAATACTGGGTACCTCAGCTTACATTTCAACACGTCAAAATCAACATATTTGCTGCGTGCAGAGACAAAAACACATTGAAATAGTTGTTTTAAACCATTATGCATGCATGTTTATCACAGAAAAGACTTGAACGAAACATTGTGCAACAGGTTCGCGTCAGGGGCGTCGCTGGTCCGCGTGTTTTGCATTAACCGCTCTCCGCTGTGGTCTGAAGTCTGCAGCAATGATGTTCTGCGAAAAGAACAATTTGAATCTCTCTTCATTTCATTGTCTGAGTGAAATCTGTGACGACATTCTCCTCCGGAAAGTCCCTGAAAGCGGCCCCTGCAGTGTCCTGGTCACCTTTGCGCGCTGAGCCAGACCCCCACAGACCCCCATCTCCACTCCAGACGCACGGGGAGAGGAGGAGGAGCGCGTACATCTGTGAGGACTGTTGGACCCGTACCACTGTTGGACTCATCTGGATCTGGGACACCACCGCCGCATTCATCACTGAGGTAATTATGTTCCATGTTCTGCTTTTCAGACTATAAATATTGGATTTTAGCCTCTCATTTTCATCTAATTGGATTTAGTTCAGAAATTAGCACCCGAGTCTGAGATCCCTGTTTTTTCAGTCTATTACCACTGTGAACTACTCTTGAGTTAAAGCTGGAGTACCTAAATTTTGTTGTTGTTTTAGAAATGCATGTTGTTTGTCCCTATAGGAAGAATTTGGTTGAAGTGACATTTTGTGATCACATCAGACTGCATGCATGTCGTCTCGTTAGAAAATATGTTATTTTATATATACTGAGAGCTGATTGGCTGAGAAAGGGCTTGTACTCTATTTTAACTGTGAAAGATGTGAGGCCAAAATGCATGCTGGGTTGGAAAAGGACTGATAGAACCAAACTGTTTTGAGAGAGAGGATCTGTTTATATTGATGTTATTAGATAGTCATTCATTATTTAGCGATTTTAAAGTTAGGTCTAGCTTTAAGTACTCCAGAGATATTATTGGGAAGCATTGACACTGTATATTTACATAATCGAGTAGAGAAGAGATTTATTTGTATCTATTTTTGCCCAGGGACTATGAAGTGAGTTGAGCGTTTATTTATTTTGATTATTTATCAAATATTGCTGCATAACATTTTCTTGCAAATTATTCATATACAATTATTTATTACAATATTGTACAATATTCAAACTCAAAAAGTGGGAGGAAGAAATATTGTATAAATTCCCACCCCTGTGATTATCATATTTACATCTGTGTTTGGAGCCAGTAGCAAACAATGTGCAACAACAACACAACACTTTCCTCCAGGTTTAGCTCCAGATGGAAAGAATCAGGAGCTAAACCTGGTTCAAATTATTCTCTTTTGTAAAGACTAATGGTTTAGTGTTTAGTACCTGTTCAATCAGTTCAACTAAAACTTTACTTCCCCCCACTCCTTTTCAGACGGACTTAGTTGCCTCATTGTAGACAGATGAGATCATTTTGTTATGTACTTCATTTTTAATTTTTCTTGCCTTTACATTAATCGTTGTATCGCCGTCTGAATAACTAAATATATATAAAACTTAACAGGGTAGGACTGTATGGCTGATGCCGGTGTAAAAATTTTATGATAATGAGGATTACTAATGTGTGAAACGGAAAGTCAAATCTAAAATCAATTTATGCCACAATTATTCTTTGGGTTATTTGTCATTTTTAAACCGTAAACCATTTTTATAACAGTTTTAGACCATGATAAAATGTGTCTTTTAGTTCTGGTTTAGTTAAAATGAAGATGAAGAGATCTTGTGTTGCATCACAAGTGACAGAACAGGAATGAGGAAAGAAGTCAATATTAACCATTAACTCTAAGCTATACTAAAAAGTAGGTAGGTAAGTTGCTTTGGAGACAACATAGTGGCACTTTATGTGAAAAGTCTGAGAGGCAGTGTATTCGTATGGACGGCTCAGACAAGTGCCTCTTGTGTGATAAAGTTGTTCTTGTTTGGGAGAGTTTTCATAGCTGTGGTTGAGCAGATCCAGCAGTGATTTAGAGGTGACAGATTCAGAGGTGACAGAGCAGATTTTATTTCCTTTAAATCTCAGTCGTGTCTGTGCTTCGGGTTAGACACGGCGGCTCCACCCTGACCCTGCCGCTGCCCTTACGCCCCACTGGCCTTTGTTGGATTAACGGGAGGAAGAGGGCGTCTTGTCTGCTGCCTGTCCACAAAGTTACTGATTATTGTTTTTTGATTTATTGAATGGACTGCTGCTCTCCAACTAGAACTTGTACATTTCTGTTACAGGACCTCATTCACTGCAGTGATCCACACTTCACACTAGAAAACCCCCTAGAGCAGTCAATTTGACGGCTTTTAGTTTTGAAAGTGTAATTACTCCGCTTATGTAGGTTTTTGGTTTTCATAACTTTGTGAACTTTTCTCTCTGTATGTAGTTTCTATCGATGTAATTATGTTTATGCAATTATGTAGATTCTAGACATAATTAATTCAAAGCATTTTTTTTAGCTTGAAGAGAGTCCTAGTTACCATAGCAACACACGTTTACTTGCATCAGTTAGCATTCGTTTTGCTGTATTTCATTTCTATGCAGTTTTAGCATGTATTCCATGTATGCAAAAAAACAACAAAAAAACATAAGAATTATTTAATTAGAATAAAAGCGTTGAAAAACCTAAAACATTTTTTGGAGATGTTTTCAGAATCCCGTTATATTGAATGGGAGCCGTCAAAATGACTGCTCTGGGAGTAGTTTCAGAATTCTTGGAGTCCTAGTGTTAAAAAGAATTACTTCACTACTTCCTCTGAATACATTTTTAATCAGCAAGAAGCCGTTAGGGTTGGGTACCACATTGAGAGTTATTGAAATTATAAATTATAAGCAACTTTGTGTTTGAGCGCTGGTAACATCATTTTGGGTGATTTTTCCTGACCCCTGACCGCTGGAATTCACCCCTGACACTTTAAGCGGTCGTATAAAGCACAGATAAACCTTCTGTTGAGTCTGAGGTCACTGATGGATGCAGAGGGACAGCACTTTTAACTGTAGCTTCACAGAAGAAACAGCTTCATAAATTATCTCCCACAGTGGGACGTGAGGACGAGAGCAGAGGTGAGCCAGGAGGTAATGCAACACGCGGCTCAGGAATGGCTCTTATCTGTGCACAATACTGTTTACTCACAGGACATGGTTAAAGTTAGTTTTGTTTCCCAGATGATGCTCTATTCGTTGTGGCTGATAATATGTTTATTTTGACTTTATCTGTTTCTATAGTAGTTTATATCTATGTCATTATTTGTTATGAAATTATCTTTTATTTTTAAATGTGTTTTGTAGTATCTTGGTTGCTTGGGAGCCAACATTCTATAGCAGTTAAAGCAACTCTTTTTCAAGGTCCTGGTTCTGGACTGGTTCTGAACAAATCCCCAGTTTTTTCATATTTAAAAAGGTACAAACCGTATAATTTGCATGATTTTGATAAAAGTAGTTCCTTTAATTTGAATGGGTACCATCAAAATGACTTCTCTAGGAGTTCTTCAGAATTTCAGAAAAGCAATTCCCAGAACTACACATTTAATCTTGTATAAACGTTTACCATATTTCTAAGTATAATTGGAGAAGTTCATTCATTTAACTGATTTTAAACAAGTAACAGGCAGAATTGTCACCGGAAATTGTAATGTGTTGGTTTCCACCCATTTGGAGTCATGGCATCATTGGCCCAATGTGCTCTGACTGAGGCTCTTTGTGGCAGGTGGTGTGACGCTGACGTCAGAGGTTTTCACTGCAGGTTTGTGGCACAAGACGTGTGTTGAGCCCAACGCTCAAACTGTTGTAACAAACTTTGTGTGGCTATTTTTGCATTCCAAGTTTATACTTTCAAAGTGTAAACAGTGACGTCTGTACCCCGCCCTGAACACACGACAACATGCAGTCACAAGGAATGTTGTATTTCACTCTTTGAAAAGTGAAACACTATATTTTGTTGTTATCGATCAACACTTGAGGAGCAACCTCCTTATGTAACACTTTGTCCTGAATCATAGGATTTGTGTGGGGTTGTAAAAGGGAAACTGATCCCGTGTCTGAAACCAAATCCACTCTTTCTGTTTAAAGAGATCAGAGAGTGACATTTATAGGGAGATCATGTAACAGTGGAAGCCAGAAGTTTACATACGCGGTGTAGAACATATGCTTTATGTCGTAACATCGAGCCGGGAGAAATCCTAGACTCTTCACATGTTCACTTCACATAATTTGGGCATGTTCACGAAAGGCAAATACAGAACTAAGCTCACCAGAAAATCTGACCTCACATGGATGAAGCTGAATCACCCTCTGCACTTTCCCATCATTTTTATAAAATATAAAACTTGAATATTATGTTTAATGCTGAGTTATTATGGAGTTAATAATAATAACACCCATTGCCCCCTTACAATACAAGTCAAAAGTACAGTTAAAATATAAAGTTAGAAGCAGCATGGACAGAGAATGGGGTAGTTATGGTGTTAGTGAGCAGGCTTCTCTAAACAGATGGGTTTTGAGGCTGGACTTAAACTGTGTGAGTTGTTAGTCTGCACTGGTGAATGGCTCTGACAGACGTGCACACACCTGGCCTGAAGAAACCTCACCTTGTTTACGTCTCAACAGGGAAGTATTGAGAGTCGTTCCTGAGGCCACGTGCTTTAGTCGATCAAACACACACCAAATGCAGTTGTAAAAGTTGATGTATAGTTACCACCTGCTAATGGATCAGTCTTTTTAGTGCATCTCTCATTGTTTTTCCTCATTTAACACCTCCAGTACCTCCTGTCCTAATGATTCAATACAAAAGCCACAACATGGACAAGCCCCCATGGCCCCCAGAGTTAAACGTCAGTGTGTAATGAGATGGCACAGTGCTGCAGCCTCTTTCTGCTGACCAGGATCTCAGCGGCACATCAGCACTTTAAGACCGAGGGGAAGAGAGAGCACTGAGACAGGAGACACTACAAACGCACAGAATAAGGACAATTACGGGGTACAACAAAAGCCATTATCCAATCACAGTAAACGCATCACTCTGAGCAGGAGAACATGTAGCTTTATCTTTGTTATTGTTATTACACTTGACTTTTATACTTTATTATAGGGTTCTTATCATCCTGCTGTTTATTCTGTAAATTAATGTGTGTGTGTATGTGTGTGTGTGTGTGTGTGTGTGTGTGCAGATATGTGTTTGTGTGGGTGAGTGTGTGCAGTTTGTGTATATGCGCTTGCGTGTATGTGTGCACGTGCGCGTGTGTGCTCAGTGTGTAAATGCTGCACTGTGACAGAGTGAGAAGTTGTGATTCTGCCTCTGCCATGCTCTTCAGAGCGCTGCTGCATCCTCACAGTCCTGGATGACACATCAGCTGCTCAGTATGTATGTGTCTCAGTATGTATGTGTCTCAGTATGTATGTGTCTCAGTATGTATGTGTCTCAGTATGTATGTGTCTCAGTATGTATTTGTCTCAGTATGTATTTGTCTCAGTGTGTATGTGTCTCAGTGTGTATTTGTCTCAGTGTGTATTTGTCTCAGTGTGTATGTGTCTCAGTGTGTATTTGTCTCAGTGTGTATTTGTCTCAGTGTGTATGTGTCTCAGTATGTATGAGTCTCAGTATGTATTTGTCTCAGTATGTATTTGTCTCAGTATGTATGTGTCTCAGTATGTATGTGTCTCAGTATGTATGTGTCTCAGTATGTATTTGTCTCAGTGTGTATTTGTCTCAGTATGTATGTGTGTCAGTCTCAGTATGTATGTGTCTCAGTATGTATGTGTCTCAGTATGTATGTGTCTCAGTATGTATTTGTCTCAGTGTGTATTTGTCGCAGTATGTATGTGTGTCAGTCTCAGTATGTATGTGTCTCAGTATGTATTTGTCTCAGTATGTATGTGTGTCAGTCTCAGTATGTATTTGTCTCAGTATGTATGTGTCTCAGTATGTATTTGTCTCAGTATGTATGTGTGTCAGTCTCAGTATGTATTTGTCTCAGTATGTATGTGTCTCAGTATGTATTTGTCTCAGTATGTATGTGTGTCAGTCTCAGTATGTATTTGTCTCAGTATGTATGTGTCTCAGTATGTATTTGTCTCAGTATGTATGTGTGTCAGTCTCAGTATGTATTTGTCTCAGTATGTATGTGTCTCAGTCTCAGTATGTATATGTCTCTCAGTTTGCATACGCCTGTTTTACTGAGCTAATGCTGTAGTGCTGGGATGTGTGCAGGGAGAGGATGCAGTGAGCTCCTCTGATATAACCACAGTTTTTGCTCTAGGACTCAGCATTGCAGGTGAAACTGTCCCGAGGACAGAGATGCCAGAAGCTGCGCTGCAGTGAAATGCTGGACTTTGCTCATCTTGCTCCTGACTCTTTGTACTTACTGAGTGCACCCTGTGTTTTCTGCAGTGTGAACCACCTTCCCCCTTGACTGAAGATGATTTGTTTGCTGATGGTAGTCTTGGTCTCTGTGGCTGCAGCTGACAGATCAGCCCTCCAAACTCTCAGGCAATTAGATGCACTGTACCCTGAGCTGGAGCACTCCAGGACCATCTATGTTGTAGGTGAGTTGCTGTTTTGTGTTTCCCACACTTTCTGCTGTCTTCTGTGTTCACTGCTAATCAGAGCATTGTCTTGTTGATAAGAGCTCAGCTCTGAGAGAACTTATCTTAAACTAACGTGAGTCTGACTCACTCTGCACAATTATGTTCTTCCTTTAATCCTATTGTTGGTTACTGGTGGGCTTGTACTGCTATCGTGTGCATTCTTGTTTTTGTTTTGAACCATCTTTCAATATGAACCATCCACTATTCAAGAAATTATTTCACATATACAGTCCATTCGATCAAGGACATCTTGCTAAAAAATAATTTTCTTCAAGTTGCACCGCAATAGTCAAACTCCTGTCCCTGTATAACTCCTGCCACTTAGATAACCCGCACTAGTTCAGCACTAGTTCAGCACAGTTCTGCACGAGTCGGCATGTTATTGCATGTAAAGTATACAATCCACTTCATTTATTTAGCACATTTTATAAAATAAGTTTCCAAAGTGCTACGCAGAGATAAAAGTAACACACTTAAAGACACAGGTTTGCCAGCTTTATATGTTTAAAAGAAAATTAAATAAACAGAATAAGTAAAACCTTATTGTATATAATAAGTACTTTTATGCATGCCTTATGATGACTCATACTATTTTATTATTTGTTATTGCACCATGATGATTTGATTGATTATTTAAATGTCCATCTCCACATTAAAAAACAACTGCTGTTCACATAAACACACTGGAAAGCAGGAATGTGTTGCTCGACCTTAGCACTGGAGATTGACAGCTGATATATGTGTCCACGTCCATTCTGCTCCCCAGATGCACAAAATAGAAATACATGAATTCATCGCATCCCTTGATAATCTGCAAGGTTTAATGAATGTAAAAGAAGGAGCGGGATATTGTTCAGAAAGTACTTAAACTGTGCCGCTTCAAAAAAGTGATTTAATGAGAGTGTATATAACTGTTTTTCAGAGAATGCTCCCCGGCTCTCGGTGTTGGCAGAGCCGTCAAAAGTGATCGCACGACGAGGTGGAAACGCCACTTTACCCTGCAAGATCCTGAGAGATGAGAATCTGGCGCCCAATCGCAAAATGAGAATAAAATGGACGAAGCTGACGTCTGACTATCTCAAGGAGGTTTGTTCTTCTGTAAACAGGCAGATTTTTATCTACACACTAAACAATCCCATCCACTTTTATGATATAGTGCATTTCAACAACAAACAGATTTCTAAGTGAGGCACTGAAAAATGAAAAAAATGAAAAAAATCACAAAAAGAGATATGATAATATTACTATATATAAATAAATGGAATACAATCCTAAAATAAAAATAAAAAATACAATATAATATGTGGGCTCTATAATTTAGCTATGACAAAATATGTGTCAGTGTCAGTGTCAGTGTGTAGTAAATATTATAATAATATGTGTTTATGTGATGTTTACAGAAAAACTCTCATATGTTGTCATGAATATCATTTTTTAGATGCATACCCTTCCCAGGTTTGGTCCTTGTCCTGCTGATAACGTTTGGGAACAATGTTTTTGATGTTTATGAATCTTATCAAAGGTGGACGTCTTTGTGTCCATGGATTTTCACAAAAGAAGTTATGGCCGCTTTCATGGGCGCGTCCATTTACTCAACTCCTCTCCATCAGACGTGTCTCTCGTCATCACAGATATTACCCTGGAGGATTATGGGAAGTATAAATGTGAAATTATTGATGGTTTGGAAGATGCAACAACTGTAGTGGCTCTTGACCTAGAAGGTAAGAAAGTTTAAATCAGGCAAATTTACTGAATTTTGTTACAATAGAATATTAAATTTTTTCTTAAATCTCAATACCTGTAGGAGTGGTTTTCCCCTACTTCCCCCGTCTCGGTCGCTACAACCTGAACTACTACGATGCGGAGCGAGCGTGCCTTGAGCAGGACGCGGCTGTGGCCTCCTTTGATCAGCTTTATGATGCTTGGAGAGGAGGGCTGGACTGGTGCAATGCTGGCTGGCTCAGTGATGGCTCAGTGCAGTATCCCATCACAGCACCCAGAGAACCCTGCGGAGGAAGGAACACTGTTCCCGGCGTGCGCAACTACGGCGTGCGCGACAAAGAGAAGAACCACTACGATGTTTTCTGCTTTACATCTCACTTTAAAGGTAAGACACATGTTTATTTACAGTGAAGCTTGGGAAATTAGAATATCATTCAAAAGTCAAATCACCACTATAATTCAACTTACAATGTGAAACTAATAGACTTAAGACAGTGAGATAGATCAAGCTTTTACTCATTATAATGTGATAGTTGGCTTATTAGTATGTTTTGAAAATAGACTCCATGTGTCTTTATGTCATGTCATTTTCTTCCCCTTTATTATTCCATATCTGGGTCAGGGGGGTAGTAATCAGAGCTGCCACCCAATTCTCAAAGCACAGGGGTCCACAGGAGGACGGCTTCTCCGTCATCAAAGATATGGCCATGGTCTTTCAGCGGGGGCTTCAGGCAAAGTGGAGTTAAGTGTCCTCCCCCGTCTTGCCCCGTCTTATGGCATGACCCAAAAGACAGGGCAAGACGGGGGAAACCCACTGTTGCCCCCCAATATGGACACCATAATCCTCAAAATTATAACAAACAAAGGGTTGGCTATATCAAACTCAACAACCAGCTCAAGGTCTGGTTGTTTCCTCAGGACACATTGACAGCTTAGCACTTCACAGTCGTAGTCGCCCCACTGTGGCACCTGGTGTTTCCAGAGGTCTCCCATCACTCATGTCCCGTCAAACTCATGTCATAATACCTTCATTATGCTAGAAAATATATTATTAGATAAAAAAAACACTTTCATTACCAGGCCCTCGACCCAAATGTGTTGAATTGAATTACAGAAATAATTGAACTTTGTAATGTCGAACAGCATTCTTGTATAAACATAACATACCATCTTGTTTCCACACTCAGGCCGATTCTACTACCTGATGCATCATTCGAAACTGACCTACGACGAGGCGGTGCAGGCTTGTCAGAAGGATGGTGCCCAGATTGCCAAAGTGGGCCAGATGTTTGCTGCCTGGAAACTCCTGGGCTACGACCGCTGTGACGCAGGCTGGCTGGCGGACGGAAGTGTGCGTTACCCCATATCCCACCCGCGGCGCCGCTGCAGCCCCACTGAGGCGGCCGTTCGCTTCAGTGGCTTCCCCGATAAGAAGCACAAGCTCTATGGAGTGTACTGCTTTAAAGGCCACAACTGAGACAAGTGCAAAGAGTGAAGCAGAGACTATGTGAGAAATGAAGGCTGTGTACTATGTCAACTAAACTGTGATGCTTCCTTTCATACAAATGTTATTAAGTTCCTGGTGCTTAATATTTTGAAATTCTTATGTATAGTTTACACATTGTATTTGACGTCTTATTATTTAATCTATTTGCTACTTACTCAGATCCCATAATGCTTTTCAGCAAGGGGGGGCACTACTATTCTACAAGCTTTTTTTTAAGACCTGAGTGATTTTCTATTGACTCCTGGCGCGCAGTCTTCCTCAGAGAGAACTCACATGCGATGTTCCTGTGACGTGCCTTGTCAGCTTCTTTTACACAGTTGTCTTCGCTGTCATCAAACCACCAGAGCCATCGACAGAACAAGAACAACTCAAATCGGCCATCTCTGACCACTGTCAAAGAGAGGACCACATTATGCATTGGCTTGAAACTAATATATATCAAACACTGACGCTGGATCAAAGAGGAAGTAGAATATGGAAACGTACCCCCAGGTCTATACACTGGGACGAGGGGGCTTTTTTACTCTCACCCACCTGTCGGACAGCAGGTGGCACCAAATATTGTGTAAAACAGCTGACAGGAAAGTTCACAGAAACTGTTAGGATTGAAAAAACACTGGTTTATAAAAAAGAAAAAAAAAGTTTTAAACCTAAAGGAACACTCTACCAGCTTCAGTATTTTTGATGCACTAAAACAATAGAAATGATCGCCATCTGGTGGCTGCTTGAAGAACTACACAATTGAAATGAAGCGACGAGGAGTATGAAAGAAAAGCTTTTATACTCTTTCAACAAATAAGGTCCATATCATTCTAAGTTGAATTTAAATGTCTCTGAAGGTTTATGGAAGCTGAAATTAGAATTAGGTGCTTTAGATCTATATCCCCCCCAGCCTGCAAAGCATTATTGTATTGCACAAGTAGCTGATGCATTTCAAGTATTCATATGAACTTTTATTGGTAAACAGATATAAGGGAGCTTCACATCAATGAGTCTTACAATTGCACTAAAACTTGGCACTTAACAAAACTACAAACAAAGCCATGATTTTTAGCTGCTGATTGAAAGAAAGGGGCCTGGTTCGACTGTCTGTCTGATAACAAGGTGCTGCATCTATTTGTATTGGAACCTTCCTTCCTCAGTTTTGTTATGAATGTGTTGGACCAAAACAAAGTTTAAACTCACAGACGGCTCATAGCTGTTGTGAATACACCACATAAAGAACATTACATGGTGTATACTATTTAGATATATGTGTTCTCGCGGTAAAACTAAAGTATTATTCATTTACTTAAATCTTTTTTGCAGCCTGTAAACTACACAACTTCACACCGGCCCCTTTTTTTTTATAGCACAATAAATACTGAGTGTAGTGGATATGTAGTTTTTGTAGTTCTCAATCAGCAACGCAACATGCCTGGCAATTATAGGCTGTGTAAATGCAACAACAAGAAATGCTAAAACTTTAATATAGACATTATTGGCTGCATCTATAGCATTGTGCATGGATAAGCACACAGCATAGAGTTAACAATCAAACTGCTATTTTTGAAAAGGTTAAAACGAAATCATGTGTAGTCTTATTTGTTTGGCATTACTATTTAAACAGTAGAAGCTGTGATCTTGGCAAAGAAGCAACTCATAATTATGTGGCAATTATAATTATATTAATAAAATTCGCTGTGGTCAGCTCCACCTGGCCCTGGTCACATCTGAGGTCATCCCTGTTGGCTGTACTAAAGTTAAATTTGGCTTTATAAGAACATTGAAGGATCAGTCCAATGAAGTGGTAATGCTACAGTCTTATCTCTGAACTACTGCTGGATAGACTCACATGACGCAAGGGATAACATTTGATTTAATTGAGTAAACTTTCAAATATGCTCTTTTTTGATAATGTAAACAATGATGGGATCAAAATAAATGCTTTTGTATCAGAAGTCATGTTTTTGGAGGATGATAAAAAAGAGCCATGATTAGGTCTGTGTGTTTTGTATTAGGCTTATTAGTACATACGTCATCATCCCTGAGCTTTCACACAGCAGCAGTAGTTTGTAGGACATTCACAGCACTGTTCTGGCCCCGGGCGGTTGTCTCAGTGTGCTGCCTTTTTACTCTTACATGACTACAAACACATTCGTTTTCATCTACAGTAGAAACCGGACGTTTTTTTTTTTTGCAGAAGTACGCCATAAAAGGGACATGACGACCCCCATCTGCCAAGCTTTAAATGATCTAAGTCTTATGACGTCTACCTCGCAGAATTGAACTTTTAAGCATTTGGAAACCGTACCCAATGAGAAACCACAATTGTCTCCCGCCCCCAGTGTATTTTATCTAATAGACTTTTGTCAAAACCCAGTGTGTTTGAGATGTGTCTTAAAGTGTTGTTAGCTTCAGCTCCAGAAGTTCCAAGTCGTTCTTGATCTTTGTGTTTTTAAACTTCTGACTCGGCAGAAAGTAATTAAAAAGAATTAATTGGTGATAAAGATAAATTATTGGTTAAAAAATGGTTAAAAACACATATCGTTCATGTACAGGTTCCACTATAGGACCAGTTGTCATATAGAACATGAAAAAGAGAGAAAAAGAAGCCTCATAAATTCTATTTTTTATTGCACAAGTATCTGACAGTGACAAGAGACACACTTGAGTAGAGGACAACATGTAAATAAAGTTGCAATTTAGCACATTTATGTCAAAATAAATACATTTGTAATGGAATGCATGAAATGAATGTATGGAAAAGAGATCAAACCGACTTTTAAATCCCAGCTGTTAAAAAGTTGTTCAATACAACAGATTCCAGATCTGCTAAGACACACTTTGCTTACTGAAGGATCTGTAAGGCTACTGTTCCCATTCAAAGTTTAATACAATAATTTAAAATAAATCATTGTGTGATTTTGAGAACCTTCAGACAACAAGAGACACCAGACACATTACGGATAACTGTACAAAAACACTGAATACTGTTTTGCGTCATCTACGTTTTCAAAATCATTTTATATTTACAAATTAACTATAGGCAAATTCCTTCTCTGTTCAAAAAACCTGTGTTGAATTTTGTATAAAACATCTGTATCAAAATTATATATATAAAAATAACAATAAAAATGTCTTAAATTGTAGGGTTCATACTTTATGAAACGATCCACAGTATAAACAAATGCACAGCTAACTCTCGGGGAATAAAATCTAACATTTGTATTCATTATTTCACAGAAGGCTCTAAAGTTCACATTCTCCATGGAGCTGTTCGAGGCCAAACTCTTCACGTATGTGCTGCTTAAATGAGCCTAATTTTAGAACATGTCTTTGTGAGGCTAAAGAGTCGGTCCACTCTCTGCACCAAAGGGTAAAAGCACCTAAACCAGTCCAAACCCGAATCAAGGCCTCTGCTGGTCATTCTGTTTATGAAGCAGCTGTTGGAACGGATTCCAGACGCGCTGAAAGAGGCCGTAATTGTCCCGTTGGTCCTGGCTGTATTTCCCCTGAGTCTGCGTGAGGTGGACGTGGTGCCTGTTCTGCGGCTGATGGGGTTCTTTGCTGCGGTGCTTTACACTCAGCGCCTTGTGGTAAACGGAGGCTGAGAAAACAAACACACAGTTAAAACACAATCACACAGTTAGAATATGGCTTAAGTTTAACCCCCTAGAACCCAGACATAAAAATAAATAAATATCTGTGCTATTTTTGGAAAACAGCATTCAATGACCAAATTCGGCAATGCAGCATATTTGCTTCCTTGGATTTTCGGTACATAAATGCTTTAGAGAATCCTTAAATGGTTTCCTCAATCATTTGGTGGATCTACTTGAAGCTTGGAACTGAAATGTTTCTCTTTGGGGCATCTCTATCACATGGTTTTAGGTACTATTAACATCAAACTGCATCACAATAATTTGGTAAAGGCCTAAAATAAAATAAAAACTAGGGTTGTAAAAAAAACCATAAAAACAACATGTGTTATAAGTGCTCCTACATCTTAAAAAATGTACATTGCTTTCTTCAAGGAGTGGACATTAAAGGGTTCTTCTTTTGGCATAACATTTGAGCTTTATGTTGCATTTTTGTAACCCACGCTGCTACGGGGTTAAAACAAAAACAGAGCACACAATTATGAATCAGACGATAATTAACTCACGGGTGATGCAGGTGACTCTGGGGGCGTCCCACTGGCCGTTGGCCCGGCAACGTATGGTGGGCATGTGTCTCTGGATGAAGCCTGGGTTACAATGATAACGCACCAGTGTGTTGCTCTCATAGCGAGGCTTCGTGGCCCCAAACACTCGAGCGTCCTTCACAACAGGAGGCTGGTCACATGCGACTGTAATAAAAGAATTAACATTAATAAGAGAAACACCATTTTCCCAGAATTCAGTGTGCGGGGTTTGTAGGCACCTGTTCCCTTCTTGCATGTGAAGGTCAAGTGATAGTTGCACGGTACATCGTTCCACTGTCCATCCTCATGCCAGATCATCACCACACAGTCCTCCCCCGACTGGAAAAAGCTGTCTGGCTGGTTGGGCCTCCAGTGGTCATATTGCTGATGAAATAAAATAATATAGAAGTCACATCTGTACCAACAAAGTAAATAGTTTTTGAAGTAGTTTTTCTATGATACATTTTATGGACACTCAAAGAGGCTTCACATAATTATTCTTTCACTCCGCACACAGTGGTGATAAACACTGACAGGAGCAACCAGGCAACTGCAGTCTCCCACCAGACTCATTCTAGGTGTGTGAAGTGTCTTGCCTAAGGACACAAAGACAGTTTGGCAATTTACAGCTGCAGTCGCCCCACTGTGACACCAGGTGATCCCAGAGGTCTTCCATCTCAGTACTTACCAGGCCCTGCCCTGCTTAGCTTCAGATGCCTGGCTTTCACATGCAGGTATGGCCACATGACCTCTTAACCATGTCCTAATGTTGAAGAGTCTCTGTGTATTTACTTTGTAGCTTTAATAATACACCTGGGTCGAACAAAGGGTAAAGAAATTCACCATAAACCTGATGTGACCCTAAACTACACAATAGATGTTGCATATTTGTAGCACGTATCAAGGTTGTGCAGCCTCCACCTATCCCCACGGGGAGAGCGATCAGTGCAAAGAGGGATAACTCATCAGTGTAAAGCACATTCACACCAGAGGGAGGCGCTATGGCATAGTCAAATCCCATAAGGCACTTTTGTATTCAACTTGTAAACCAAAAATTGGCATGTGACTGCACCAACCCTCAACAGAACTTCACTAAGTAAGAGAAAGAAGGTAACTTATGCGGTGTCAAGTGAGTGTGTGTTCAAAGCATGCAAACCAGGGCGTTCCCTTCTGCAGAAAGATAACACATGACAGCTACAGCGTCCCCCCAGTCTCTAAAGTCTTATTGAGTCCATCTTGAACAGCTGATGGTTCCCAAAGGAGAAAGTCTGTGTGCAAAACCACGTCATTGGTCGAGACAAAGAGCAGAAGTAATTTAACACACAGGAATAATGACATCATATGGTAACCAAATTGACATATTTTGGAAATTTAGAGAAATGAAACACAGTACAATATTGTTATGGATTTTGATTTTATGTTGTGGTGTGGACTTTTTGATTATTTTGACTTTTTTATTTGACTATATTTGTTCCCCTGTAGTTCGAGTTTGCTTCCTGTCTCCTGTTAATTGTTTGCCCCGCCCTAATGGGATTGACCTGCGTATGACATTTTAGGGTGTCGGGCCTTTGTTTGGGATGCCTCCTGGACGCCTCAGAGCATGTCCACCAGGAGGAGACCCAGGACCTCGGACATATCTGTCTCTCGGCTGGCCTGGGAACGCATTGGGACTCCTGGAAGAGCTGGAGGAAGTGTGTGTGGAAAGGGAAATCTAGGCAATAGAGTGGAAAAAATCGATGGATTTTTACAACACTAATAATAAAATGTTCTAGGCTGGTATCAAGCAAATAACATGTACGGTGATTGAAATACACTGATTATTATTATAACAGTTGTATTATCTTTGTGTACTTTGTGTAGATTTCTGAAATTGTATGAGAATTTAATATTTGACCTCATTTGCAATAACAAATACTAATACTAAACTATGAATTTAGAAAGAAATCCCCTTTTACCATCGGTCTGCCGTCGGTCCATCTGAAGTCTCTCTCAAACATCTTGTCATTCAGGCCTATCCACTGGTAATCACTGCCCAGTCCTACAAAAACAAACATGATTCATATAACATTCAAAATAATGAAATTAAACTTTACACAAAAGCAAGAACATGTAAGCGATGAAAGAGCAGAGAAAAAAACAGGAATAGAGAACTATGTGGTAATATTTGATTTCCATTTTGAAATAGAGAATGATTACCATTAAACAGCAGCCCACTAAAATGATAAGCAAAATAAACCAAAATAATATCATCACATCATGCAAATATGATGTGAAAGCCAGGTCGTCAGATCTCTGAAGCTGTGCAGGGCAGGGCCTGGTTAGTACTGTGATGGGAGACTGTTGTTGTGTCCTTAGGCAAGACACTTCACCCACATTGCCTAGAATGAGCCTGGTGTGTGCGTGAAAGGCTGATGGAGGTGAAAGAGGCTTGTGGCACATACTGGTTGCCTAGCCTCTGTCAGTGTGCCCCAGAGGCCAAAAGACAGCTATGTGAAAATCAAGGCATTATTCAATGATGTTGTATCCATAAAGAGATCCATTTAGAGATGTTAGCTTGTAAAGTGAATTCAGTTGTGAGAAACCTAATGTCAAACCTGTAGGTTCAAGGATGTAAAGAGAGCTTGCAGGTTAAAAGATCAGTCTATAAACTATAAATAGATACTACTATAGTATTGGAAAGTATCACTGTTGTGCTTGGGCTTACGGTTGACATAAAGCTGCTCTTCGTGAGACAGGATGCTGGTGAGGTGTGCGCCGTGAAGCCGACACTCTCTCTCCGCAGAGTCCCAGGTCCGACGATGAGTGAAGTACTTGTAGCAATGAGACTGGAACTTCTGCCATCCAAAGCCACACACCTCTGTGTCTGCAGAAACACACAAAGTGACAGGAATATTACAGACAATACAGACCAAATGACACATCAGTAAACAGATGTTTTATTTGTAAAGAATCATCATAAAACACTGAGGATGTGGGCTCTTTGTTATACAGTACATTACTACTGGACTATAAACCTCTACTTTTTCAAGTTCTTTCAACTCTGCAGCCTATTGAGTGATGAGGCTAGTGTATGAATGCTTATTCTGTTAGGGACCTATCAGCTTTTGATCTAGTACACATTCCTCCATCCCAGTGGGTTTATGTGAACAGCACAGAGTCGATACAAGGAAGTGTTGTGGAAGTACACCACTTGATTAGGGCTATAGTCAGAGAGGACTTCATGGACTTATTATTTTAACAGGAATGTTGCTGTTGAAATAGATTGGATTTACCAGAGTTCTTTGATAATCACAAGCCACAAGTGTATTGGTTCACAGTAGTGTTTTCACAAGTGTTTTCACATTACAATATGAAAACCTGCGGAAGTAAACAACATGTACTTTCACTTTAAATGTATCTGCTACGATTTAAATACAGGTTAATAGTCCAGAAAGTCCTGTAACTTTATACAGTTGGATCTCCAATAGTAGTATTGTACAAGTTAACTGACTAAAATGACTACTATGGTTTGTTTGTTCACCTTATTAAGGCTAAAATAAAGTCTTCTAATAAGAGGTGGAGAAAGAGGCTTTGTTTAGTATTGTTCATGTGCCATACAGCTGCAAAAGCTTTCTGGCTAAAATCTAACTAAAATAATAGGGACACTGTTCTCAGACAGATGTTCTTTATCTGACAGAGCAGAGGCTGTATAAGGCCTGGCAAACTGCACTGATAGCGTTTGTGACAAATCCAAAATAGAAGTTGGGTAGAAGCAGGCAGCAGGCATCGAACCAAAATGGTTAAGATAACAACGGCAATTGAAGGCTGCATGTTATTGTGTCGACATCAGTGCACATGGAGATCATAAAACTTTTAATAGGCCCTAACTGTATGTTCTCACTGTGTAAACATCTGAGAGACAGACATTGGTGTTCACTGAGAAGGTCTTATTTAAAGGTGCATTCCTCTTCTGTCCCGGTGGTGACCCGCGGGTTGTGAAGTGCTCTGATACTTGCTTCTTGAAATGTCACTCAGTCATTCATCAATTATGAATGATTTTAGTGGTAAAAAACAGACTTTCTACCGCGAGAAGCCTCTCCACAGATAAAAGTAGTAACTTAGAGTGAAGTCACAGCTTGTTTCAAATGCAAAAGGAGAGTTTGATGAGAAACTGCATGAAAATCATGGCAAAGAAACAACCTTTAGATGAACCCAAGGGAAAAGTTATGCATGCAACCCATCCACACAATGCTCATGACACCAGCGCCTCACTGATCCTCTGCAGGTGGTGAGTCCACAGGAAGATGGCTGCTACGTCAATGGTGATACAGCCTTGGTCTTTCAGCGGGAGCTTCAGGCAATGTGGGGTTAAGTGTCTTGCCCAAGGACACAACCACAGCAGACATTAGTGGGAGCAGTTGGAGAAGGTCCCGTGGTGGACTCAAACCCACGTCCTTCAAGCCCAAAGCTCAACCAACTGAGCAACTTTCGCACAAGTTATGCACGCCTTTTATTTTATTCTGCTTTAACTTGTTTACACTGGGAGCCAAAGAAATTTCCTGTGTCTTGCTGACATTCATTAATGGGCAAAAAGATGTCACAGATTTTTAAAAATATATACCAGGTGTACAGCCTTTTTACTGTATGTGAGTGAGTTTTTGTGACCAAATTCTCATTATTATTCAAATTTTCTCCAATCTGTCTCAAACTGATACTTTGATTAACAAGTCTGTGGTGAAGAGCATCCATCTACTGAGCGGAGCTGTCGTCAAATTACATTTTTTTAAATTTAACCACAAAAATTAGGTCCCTTGAGATACAATCTCCTGACCAAGACCAGGTCTACACTATGAATCAGGTATGCAGAGCTACGAGCTACTGTCTCAGACAAAATGAAAGAAAACTATATTTTATAGAAAAAAAGAACTAAGTATTGGAAAAGCAGTTTTGTCCTGATCACAATCAGTGATGTTTATTTAAAATCTATGGAGTCACTTTTCCATAATCAGCTGTGGGTTATGTGCCCAAAACAGTACGTTCTTCTAGTGGTTGTACAGTGTTTTGCACTGACCTTGCTCACACAGTTCCCCTGCATAGCTGGGCAGGCAGAGGCAGGTGAAGGAGTTGATTCCATCCAGACAGGTGGCTCCGTTCAAACAGGGGTTGGACTGGCACTCATCGACTTCTGCACACACAGCCCTATATTATTCCTCATCCGTCTGTCACTACGGGGTCAATGTGACGTGCTCTACAAAACATGTCTTTATAAAGTCTGTTTGTACCGGTATCACAGCGCGGGCCACTGTAGCCAGGTGCACACACGCACAGGTTTTCAGATGCTTGTCTGTAGCAGGAGCCTCCATTGAAACACACACTTTCAGCACATGGCAGCAGATCTGAAGAAGTACACATCAGTATGTGGTGTGTGTCTATGTCAATGTAAGTAAGTAAGTAAGTAATCTTTATTTATATACCGCCTTTCACAGGCCAGAGTCACAAAGCGGTTTACAATTGTTATTTTTGGGCACTTGTCCTCTCACTCCACAGAGAGATGGGAGCGGGGTCGCCGAACAGGAGGCACATGCCAATCCTATTATACATATTTTTAGTGGTAGGGGAAACCGGAGTACCCGGAGGAAACCTACGCAGACACGGGGAGAACATGCAAACTCCACTCAGAAAGGCCCTGGTCCGGCCGGGATTCGAACCCAGGACCTTCTTGCTGAGAGGCGAGAGTGCTATCCACTCAGCCACCGTGCCGCCCTGGCAATACACAATTACCCTGGCAAATATATAAAATAATCACAACTCAAAACAATTAAAACTGGAGTAGCACAGTTATTATATCCATCTTCATTTAATTACAAATCATGTTCTCTTTTGCATGCATGTAAGAAAGAGCCATGTGTGTCAATATTTGGCGCTATGTGGTAGAGATTTGATCCGGCCATTTTTCTGTCTGAAATAGCTTGTTCAGCCGTTGTGCTATCCTTGGGTCAAATTGACTTGCCCCAGCGATTAACATATACCCTAAATATTTTTTTAAATCAAGTTGATAGAAGAGCATCACATCTTATTAGCAGAATAATTATCAATATTTACCTCTAAAATTGACAGTGCTGGCTTCCACAGAAAAGGCCGGGTAGGTGACTGCTTCTGGCTGCTCGATGGCGGCTGTTTCTGCTGCGATCTCAGGCCGGGACACCAAACGTGGCCCATCCTCTCTGGGGTAATCTTTGTAGTCGTCTGGCAAAGGTGTAGCATCCGGATCAGGGACTAGAGCCCAGGCTGGGACTGAGTTGCTGCTTTGATCAAAGGTGAACAGTGGAGATGCTGTAGAGGCTGTGAGCGTTGTCTGGTCTTTTGTGAAAGTTTTATTTTCTGATTTGTCCAACGTTGACATTGTGTTAGACGGTGTATTCGGGTATTCTGAAGCAAATGGAGGTTTTTGGGTCTGTTTTTGCATGTTTGAGCCCTTACTTTTAGTTTGATCATAGTTAACAGTGAGTATGGTAGAGTGCTCTTGTGGTCCTGCTGTAGATGATAGTGAAGTAATAACATTATCACCAGAAAGGTCCACTTCTCTTTCCAAATAATTTACACTTAAGTCCGTCGTCATGGCAGCGGCATGTTGAACTAAAGGTGCCTTTGTTACAACCACCATTTTAGGGTGTAATGTAGAGAAGTCTGGACTGTGAAAGCTTGTAGATCTATGCAGGTCTGGGGGGTAGCTGTCCTGCCCTGATGCCTCAACTTCCCCCGATGCGGATCCTTCAAATTCATCTGTTTTGACTTCGATGCCAGAGCTTGTGGTGGTCAAATCAGGGGGAAAGGTGGTCAATTCAACTCCACCCATTTCGTTCTCATCCGTCCTTACGTCTAGTACATTAGCAGTGGGAAACGCACCGCTTCCAGAACCGTCAAGCGAGGAATCATCTGCCCCCTTGTTGCCAGATCCTTCCATGTCCTCGTACGTGGGCTGTACTTTTGTGATAGATACACGGGACGAGACGTAACCGGGAGAAGTGATGGGCGTCGCAGTGAAAGTTTGTGTGGTGGTCGTGTCATGGCTGACGTCTGGCAGCCGTTCAGCGTCAGTAGAGGAGGAGTAGTCGTAATTGGCCTTTGTGTGCACCTCGATAGATCCATAGTCAAAAGTAGTGGCAGTCTCAGCATCTCCACGGCTTCCTTCTTGTGCCTCCTCAATAGGATTGGGGGTGACTATTTCAAACTGATCACCCCGGGCTTCTTCAGGGTGGACAGGTTTAAAGGTCACCTGCGGGAATAACCGTTGCAATTCAAATTATACATATAGTTATAGTTAATTAGTCTAGTTCAGCACAAACGTGACAGCATGCATGCAAAAAAAAACTCCCAAAGTGGTTCTTAATATAGACACGTTCTATACAGTTACATAAAAAAAACGTCATTAAAGGGAACACAAAACCATTACTGTCAATAGCAATCAACAACGAACCAGCGCTTTGGGGCCCGCACAGTTGTTGGTCTGTTTCACTTGGAGGAAAAAATACTTAAAATATATGTTTCTCAGGAAAAAAAAAAAAAATCGTTTTATTATAACATTTTAACCCTACACATCATTAGAAGTTAGTCATAGAACATATATACTGTATTTGGTCCAGTTTGAGTTCAATCTAAACAATGAACACATTTTGTTTTCAAACCGAAATTAGTAGTGAAACTCACATCACTTAAAAGTAATGTCAAAACCATTACTTCAAAAAAATGACTTGACCAAAATGAGTCAGACACCCCCAAAATATAGTCAAAATAGACTATATTTTGTTTTAAAGGGTTATAGATTTTAGGTTAAAACCAACTGGATTTTTTAATGGAAACGGAAAAACCTGAATAAGAAACACCTGTGAGCTTTAAAAGGATAAATGTATTCAGAACTAAAGCATTAAATATTGTTGTTGTTTATTCAATCTAGACCATAAAAAAATCAAGGGGCATAGATGGACATTGGTCATCCTGTTCCCATGGACCAATGCAATGGCTCCACTGTGTTGGTTATTATACCATTTTCCTGTGTTCAAACTGTTTGATTCACTGATCTGTTGTTGGCGAATCGACAAATTTGTAAAGTGACCGACCATGTCCGTTCTATCTATACACCCATAAATCAATGCAACAAACAAAAGCAACATGTCAAAATGATCAACATACTGCTAGAACTCATGTGAATAATGCGTACCTCATGTTTTATGTCCACAAAACTGATTGTGGAAGGGAAGCCGAGAGGTGATGCTTCAAAAGGGTCCGTAAAACCCTCGCTTCCCAGGGATATGTTGGGGATCTCTGGAAAGAGAGACAGCTGCCCATCGTCCACTCCCACGGGCTGGTTCAGAAACCTCAGGACATCGTCAACTGTGGACAGACAAACACGCTTAAGTAGACCAAAATGGAGAAAATTACGCAAGACACAAAATTCTGTCTGTTCTGGTATTGATTAAACAGATCCGAAGTGTATCTGGATGGTTCCCAGTCAGTGCTCTGCAATGGCAATGATTAAGGTCAGTGATTTGGTGCCAAAGGGTGCACATAGACAATGAGCTCTTGTCTTCTCATTAGGACTTTAAGGTACACGTGGAAGCAATATCATGGGAAGTGGAGCAAAAATGTGCAAAAAAGTGACACCAACGCATGCCTTAAGTATACCTTACCACTGGAGCGGGCCACATTGTAAACAAGACATATCTATGCAGCTGCAGCATGTGGCTCAAAGTCAAATGCCCCTGTGATTCTGACAGTGATATGGCTTGTAACAGAAAGACGTTTCATCATAGAGCTCACTGCTTTAATTTTCCTAATTTCCCCAAGACGTGGAAAGAGTGAGTTGTGGGGCCCCGTATGATAAATCACATGCAACGTAATACACCTTTAATATTTCAATAACAAACATAGGGGAGATGGCATGTGGCCAAAGGAAGAATCCTGTTAAGTGTGTTAGCGGAGCGTGAATACAAGTAAGAGGTTAATACATGCAAAAGGATCCTAAAGAAATGAAATGTAGGTGATACAAGTGGAAGATCAACCATGGAGAACTGTAAAAACTTCTCTCAATACTGAACCAACCAAAAATTGACAAAAAAGGAAAGCAGTGAGGCTAGAGCAAGTGAAAGCTGCTGTTTTATATGATTATTACACAGGATTGTTTTCCCAAAGGATACACCATGATGAGTTTGTAAAATGTTTATCTGAAACTCAGTCAAGCAAAAATGGCTTCAAAACTTTCCACATCTGGCCCAGTATCATTCTGTGTTTGCACTGAACTGCACTTTGCTACACAATGCAAGAAAGTATGAACAATGGATTAGTTATACATGAAACAAACAAACAAAATCCAGTCAAGCTTAAGGAAACAAGTTCCCAAGAACAGAGGGAACATGATACTATGAGCCCGTTTGATGCACATGGTACGTACATTGCAGCTTATGTCTGATGAGGAGAATTATGGAAATAACATGACGTTTGAGGTTAGAGATCAAATGACAAGAGGCCGCTATCTGGAAACCATCGTCTCCCATTTTCTTCTCTGTATATACTGTACATTTTAGCCTTCTGTCAGCCACTTTCGGTGAAAGTTTGTGAAACATATTTGTGAAGTAACTCTATCCCTATGATACTGAACTGGGGATAAAAGTGATGATCTCAACCCCGGAATCCAATCCAGGTTTTTTCACAAATAATGGCTCCAATTCATATTTGAATAGGGCAGCAACTGAATATGGGATTTTTAATGTGACCAAAACAAAGCTCAATTGATGCCCCTGGAGAACAGTGTCATAGAGATCACTTTGTAAACACATTTTCATTTTACACTGCAGACACTATAGAATGATCTCAGTCATAAAACCACATCTCAGAAGGTTTAAGTCTATGTAAGATTCAGAAAAAGTCCTTGCTGGACAATTAAGCCATATAATTAAGTATTAAGTATTATATATACATATAATACACATATATATATAAGTGTATAAACTGCACCAGCCAAATTTGAAGAGAAAGATTTTTTTTTTCCCGATACACCATGATTTAATGATGATCAAAGCACTCTCAGAAATACAATCTGTTTTGACAATTACAGTCAGAATACATAAGCTGCGTTCTTTCTGACTAAAGCTTGATCCATGAACACTGCTCTGATAATTGCCCTAATCACATAAAAACAAGTCTTGCGTATTTCCCTGCACTTCCTTGTGTCATCTCTATCTCTGCTTTTCACATAAACACACTGAGAAGCAGGAATGTGTCAGCTACATCATCAGCTGTGTCCAAATCCCCTTCCTACATCTCAGGGGGAGCTCTAACAAAATAAAAATACATACATAGTCCGCATTGCTGTATAGGCTGCATGGTCCAAAGAACTTGAAAAAAATTACTGTAATCAATTACTAAAATAGTTGACAACTATGAGAATTTCGATAAGCGATTAGCTTATCGAGATTGATTAACTTAAGGCAAGGCAAGGCAAGTTTATTTATATAGCACAATTCATACACAAGGCAATTCAAAGTGCTGAACAAAACAAGAAAGCATTAAAATCATAAATAATCACAGAACATTAAAAAGAAAGATACAAATATAAAATCCCTCAGTTGTATGCACAGCTAAACAGAACTGTCTTTAACCTGGCTTTAAACATTGTCAGAGAGGAGGCCTGTCTCACATCTCCAGGAAGACTGTTCCAGATTTTAGCAGCATGAATCTGAAAAGCAGCCTCCCCATGTTTAGTTCTGACTCTGGGCACTAACAGGAGTCCAGTCCCTGTGCTCCTCAGAGTCCGGGCTGGTTCATATGGGACTAACATGTCACTAATATATTTTGGTGCGAGGCCATGGAGAGACTTGTACACAAGCAGAGCTGTTTTAAAGTCTATTCTTTGAGCCACAGGAAGCCAGTGCAGAGACCTGAGGACTGGACTAATGTGGTCGTACTTCCTGGTTCTTGTCAGGACTCGAGCTGCTGCATTTTGAATGTACTGCAGCTGTTTTACAGCCTGTTTGGACAGACCTGTGAGCAGGCCATTGCAGTAGTCTAACCTACTGGAGACAAATGCATGGATAAGAATCTCCAAGTCTGCTTTAGACACTATGTTTTTGATCCTGGCAATGTTTTTTAGATGGTAAAAAGCTGCTGATGTTACTGATTTGATGTGGCTATTAAAATTTAAGTCTGAGTCCAGTATTACCCCTAGATTTCTGACCTTGTTTGAAGGTTTTAGGGAGAGAGACTGTAGGTGACAGATGACGCTCTCTCTTTGTTTCTGGGGACCAAAGACAATCATTTCAGTTTTGTCTGCGTTTAGCTGAAGGAAGTTGTTTTGCATCCACTCACTGATCTGTTGGATACAGTGAAGGAGTGAGTCCACTGGTCCATGTTCTCCTGCAGTCAGTGAGACATAGATCTGAGTGTCGTCTGCATAGTTATGATAGGAAACTTGTTTCTGCGTATTAACTGACCTAACGGCAGCATGTAGAGATTGAACAGAAGAGGTCCCAGGATCGACCCCTGTGGTACTCCACAGGTCAGGGCCATATGATCTGAGACACAGTTTCCAATCTCCACAAAGTACTTCCTGTCCTCAAGGTAAGACCTAAACCAACTTAGGGCGGTGCCAGCGACTCCAACCCAGTCCTCTAATCTCTGTAAGAGGATCTCATGGTCGACGGTGTCAAAGGCAGCACTTAGATCTAACAAGATTAAGATTGAGACTTTGCCTGCGTCAGTGTTCAGCCGGATATCGTTTGTAACCTTGACGAGAGCAGTCTCAGTGCTGTGGTGGGGTCTAAAGCCGGACTGAAACATATCAAATGAGTTGTTGATTATAAGAAATCTAGTAAGCTGTAGGTAGACAACTTTTTCAAGGACTTTCCCCATAAATGGCAGATTTGAGATGGGACGATAGTTGTTAAGTACCGTAGCATCGAGACTGCTCTTTTTTAGCAGGGGCCTGATGACTGCAGTTTTCAGGGCCTTTGGGAATATTCCAGAATGAAGGGACATGTTTACTATCTGTGTGAGTGAAGGTAACAGACTGCTCAGAACAGACTTCAGAAATCTAGTGGGTAGTACATCCAAGCTGCATGTGGAGGCGCTCAGACTGGAGATTATCTCTTGGACAGTTTTATCATTTACAGGTGCAAAGTGAGTTAGCTCAGAGAGCCTTTCTGGCTGTTGGATGGTTATCTGTGGATTGGAGACAATGGCGTTTTTGATGCCTTGAACCTTGTCATTGAAAAAATTAGCAAACTCATTGCATTTACGTTTGGAAGTAGGCTCTAATGGCATTTGAACAGGGGGGTTTGTTAATCTATTAACTGTTGAAAACAGAACACGCAGATTGTTGCTGCAGCCTTCAATCATTTCAGAAAAATACCTTTCTCTCGTACTACGTAGCACCCGGTTAAACTCGCACAACTTATCTTTGAAGATCTCGTAATCAACCTGGAGGTTGGACTTGCGCCACTTCCGCTCGGCCCTCCGGCACTTTCTCTTTTGTGCCCTGACCGAGTCTGCTTTAGCCCACGGCGCCTTCTGCTTATTTTTCACTATTTTAACCTTCACAGGGGCAACGGTATCCAGAACATTCAAAACACTAGAGGTGACAGAGTTAAACAGTTCATCTACAGTAGAATACGATGCATTCTCAAAGTTTATCATTCCCATAAATAGTTCACTCGTATTTTCATTTATGTGTCTTCTTCGTACAGTTGCAGAGTCCACTGGTGGTTTGTTAGTGAAACACATGTCAAAAAAAACACAGAAATGATCCGAAAGAGCAACATCGACCACGTTTACATTTGAAATATTCACCCCCTTAGTAACTAACAGATCTAGAGTGTGCCCTCTGCTGTGGGTGGGGCCACTTACGTGCTGAGTGAGATCAAAGGATTCAAGTACAGAACTCAGCTCATTTGCATTTCTGTCATCAACATTATCCACATGAATATTAAAATCACCTGTAATAACCAAACTATCAAAATCTGTGCATACAACTGAAAGCAACTCGGTAAAATTATCAATAAAACTGTGACATGACTGCGGTGGCTTGTATAGGACAACGAAAAGTATTGGAGGAGATTGTTTTTGTTGTATTTTAAAAGACACATATTCAAAAGACGAAAACTTCCCAAGGGACATTCTATGGGAGACAAAGTGGTCTCTGAAAAAGGCAGCTAAGCCTCCTCCTTTTTTGTTTTCCCGTATTTCAGATTCAAACTTGAAATTTGGTGGTGATGCTTCTATTAAAACTGCATTTCCTGAATTTTGGTCAAGCCAAGTTTCAGCCATGAACATAAGATCAAGATTATGAGAACAAATAAAATTATTGATTAAAAAAGACTTGTTACAAAGAGATCTGACATTAAGCGTAGCAAGTTTCAAAGTTTCAGTATCAGCGGTTGTGGTCGGCTGATTCTTACACGGAACAAGAATTAGATTTTCCAGATTGACTTATTAACTCCAGATGTCTTTCTGTAATGTATTCTTTGTGTTATCACTAAGGGAATGGGACAGGTGGCTTCATGACAGGGCCCCAGCCGGGTCTCTCCTCTAACTAGACTGCCAGTGGCTGCGAAGCAGAGACCCTGTGCATCCTAGTGTTTAGAGAAAAGAGGGGAAGGGGAAGGCGGGGGAGGAGGATGGAGAGGTGGGTGGCTTTTGGGTGTTGAACGAGGGGGGCAGGGAGGTGGAGGGGTTTTTGGTGATGGGTTAGGGCCGGGGTGGGCTGAGGCAGAGGTTTTGGGTGTTGAACGAGGGGGAAGTGGGGGTGGAATGGTCATGAGGTTAGGGGAGGGACTGGCTGAGGTGGTTTTTGTAGGTGAATTGGAAACCCTAGGTGGTTTTGGAGGTACATATGGGGAGTGGTTTAGCATGTTGGACAGGACTCTAGATCTAGCTAATATGGGTGTGAGAGGAATAGTCTTCATCGCCGATTTTATTAGCCCTGCAGAGTGTTCAGGTAGGTCTAACAGTGAAGGCGGGGATGAAAAACAAAGGGACGTGTCCCCATTCTCTCTTGATGGAGTGGACGTGGCAGGGGGGACCCAAGACAGGTCCATGGGAGGTGGCGAGGGAGTCTTTGATGGAGGGGCAGGTGGTTGAGGAAACCCCAGCACAGGCCTGTCTGCTGTAACCTGGGGTGAGGATGGGGGCTTCAGAGGCGCTGTAGAAGAAGAAGGCGTGGCTGCTTTGGAGCAGGCTGGGGATGAAGATGTTGGTGGTGGTGGTGGTCGTGCTGCTGGTTCTGCTACTGGTGATGATGCAGCTGCTTCTGATGACAGTGGAGGTGTTGAGATCCTTTGAGGCGGTGATGGTGTTGAGATCCTTCGAGGTGGTGGTGGTGTTGAGATCCTTCGAGGTGGTGGTGGTGTTGAGATCCTTCGAGGTGGTGGTGGTGTTGAGATCCTTTGAGGTGGTGGTGGTGTTGAGATCCTTCTGATGTGGTGGAGGTGTTGAGATCCTTCGAGGTGGTGGAGGTGTTGAGATCCTTCGAGGTGGTGGAGGTGCTGAGACTTTTAGAGTC